TTGTTTTCAAATAAGGGGTCAGACTTTAAAATACGTAGTTTTTTATCCCGATAGAGGGCGGTACAATTAAAAGTATCACCATGAACTGTCATATTTCTAAATTCCCCATAAAATTACCTTTTTAATTATGTACTATACACTGTAGTATCACACTCTATAATACGTAGTAGTTTTTTATCCCGCTAGAGGGCGATAAAATTTAAGTAACGCAATGTACAGAAATATTTCTGAATCCCTCAGTAAATTACCTTTTCAATGATGTACCATACATGGTACATTACCAATTTAAAATTAAGGTGTGGAAAGGTACAAGGGAGGGGTTTGACACATGACAGATGTCTGTATTGTAAAAATGTTTTCAATTTGGAATAAAAATCGACCTGTTTTAGCATTTTCTTAAAAGCCAATGATTAATGCTGAAAAACAGGATGAAACTGTTTTAAGTGACCCACTCTGTATATCAAAAATGGATATATCGAATTAGTTCATAAAACAAAATCTGATTAAAAATGCATTTTTTACAAGATGCGCTACACAAGAAAGGTCCTCCCATCGAAAAAAAATTATTGAGCGCAGCGCCATCTACATATTGACCTATTTAAAATTAATTTATATCTGAAACTGAAGCTCTCTTAGTGCTCTGTGTACTGGCTTTAACAGAATTAAAATATCTCTATTACTTACCAAAATATCCGGCCTGGGAGTTTTTATTGGTATATATATTTTTAAGGTAAAGTCTTTAACGTTAGAGAAGATATTTAGAAAAATATGTATTCATGAAATTTACTTAATCACCCTGTAGAATGAAAATTGGGACGTTCACAGGAAAATTATATTTAGCTTTTCTTAATAATTAGTTAAGATCTACAAGTTTCCCAGTTTACGGTACTTTATTCTGAAACGCCTGTATATAAAAAGTATAAAATATTTTAAATATAGTAAAACTTGTCTACAGAAAACTTGTTTCATTTAATGTTTTAAAGCATATTTCTTTGATGCTGAAATTTTCTTGATTATTACACAACTCATAAATTGTTTTAGAATCAGTTTCTTATATAATTTGTTGGCGCTGAAATTATTGTCAGCTCACTTTCACAATTTTTAAAAATTGGTTTTTCTGGCACGAAAACATGCAAACAAATTAAAAATCAAAATCAAAAATAGTTTTATACTCATTTATTTAAACTGCATGTACAATCAAATAATGTAGAACTGTGTGAGCAAAAACTAAAATTACAAACTTTTATTAGAATTCTGGATGTAACAATAACAATAATGTTTACTGAAAATCATATAAGAGGAGGTTGTTCTGCAAAAGGGTCTAACCCAGGGATTTTCATACTATATTGGGCAAGAAATTAGTTTTTTCTTGTTGGTACAAAAATCAATTTAAAAACTCTGCGGTTGGTTAACAAAATAAATAATAATAATTATTAATACAAATTACGTAAAAATACTTAAGAAGGTAATTATTAAAAAAAAAAAACAACATTAAAATCGCAAAGTAAAGATAAAGTAATAAAAAATTAAGTGTGATGGATGAACCTATTCAAGTTAGATAGTTTGGGCAAAAATACAAGTATTAGAAATTAAAAATTTAAAAAACCGACTTCAAAAACGTGCAGATGTCATCACAAGATCTTAACCAAATTGGGACCACCCTTGAGGTACCCCTTTACTAACAAAAAAAAAAACAAATGTTAATGTTTTCAGCTTTATTTCTGACTCTTACAACATAATGTCATCAACTCCGACAACTCGATTACCTATACTATATATAATGAATATACAGGGATTGCTAAAACTAATGGGCAATATCAACACCCCCCTTCAATCTTGTAATACATTTAAAAAATATATAAACAAATTTAACATATTTCAATAACACCAATTTTATTTCTAAAATACTCAAACCTTTTAACAGGTAAAGCTTTAAGTCAGCATATCTGCCTCTTGCTCATTTGTAGGTACATACATAACTTTTATCATTCCTTCAGCTATAATATTTCTTATAAAATGATGTCTTACATCAATGTGTTTCGTTCTTTTAGTTTCTAGAGTTTTTGCCATTTTTATGCATGATTGGTATTATTCAAATATTGTGATTGGATCAATTTTGATATTCATGCTTTCTAATAGTTGTTTCAAAAAAATACACTCTGTAATGCAACTAGATAAGGCAAAATATTCAGATTCTTAACTAGACAATGCCACTATACTTTGTTTTTTAGACTTCCAATAAATAGTTTTATCATTTAGCTTTAGAATGAATCCACTTATATTTTTTCTATCATTCTGGTTACTACCAAAATCGGCATCTACGTAAGCTTTAGCAATTAAATTAGTTATGTTAACATTATTTTTTGAAAATTTATTGTGTTTCAAATATCGTAATGTATTTTTCAAATGTTTCCAGTGAGTAAGATTACAATTTTAAAATTGGCTAAAATATGTGATAGCAAAACAAATATCAGGCCTAGAGCCTAACATGATATACATCAAGCTCCCAATTAGCTCTTTATATGGAACAACTATACTTGAATAATTTTCAGCTACCAAATTTAACTTAGGTTTCATGGGTAATGAAAATTCTTTACAATTTACCATATCAAATTGATTTATTTCTTTTTCAATAAGCCTTTTTTGTGAAATAAATAAATTATTGGCCTTTTTTTCAATTTCTAAACCTAAACATAACATTTTCTTTTCATTTGACATATCTATCATTTCAAATTCCAAAGCGAGTTCCCTCTTAATAGAGAATAATTCCTCACAATCATTTGAAATAAGAATTATGTCATCAACACAGATTAACAAATATGTTTGTAACTTTATAACTATTTCAGATCTTTTAAATTTTATTTTTATCAAATAATTAGTGAGTCGCTCATACCAACATCTTGGACTATTACGTAAACCATAAAGAGATTTTTCAGTTTGCAAACATATTCGTTGTCTGTGTTACTAGAATCTTTTAAAATTAAACCATCAGTAGAACTATGTGGAACTATGTCCCAAGTTTCATTGTACTCCACGCTTGTTAGTTCTTCTTGTATTGCTTCTCTCCAGCCTTTATTTTGAATAGCTTGCTCATAACTCGAAGGATTTTCTGTTGGTAAACAACCTGTAGACAATGCTGCCATAAAATTAATTTCATAGTCTTTAAATCTTGTTGGCAATCTCTTTTCTTTTGAACTTCGTCTTAGATTTGTAGATTCTTATGTCCCTATGTTTCGAACAGGATCATCTTTTTTTATCTTCTTCAGGATTATCAAAATCGAGTGGTAGATATTGTGGGTTCTCTACTAAATTCTTTTGAAATTTAGATTTCTTATCAAATACCACACTTCATGCTGAAACAATTTTAAATTTGTTTGGATCCAACATACGATAACCATTAGATACATAACCAATATCAAAGGAATACTTCGCTGATCTAATTTTCCCCTGGTCTCTTTTGTCACGTGAACATGACCTGTACAACCAAAAAAAATCATGTTTTCAGTGTTTATCTTGTGATTCTACCACACCTCTGCTAGAATCATATTTGTTGAAGAAGTTGGTAATCTGTTAATAATGTAGACAGCACAACGAACAGCTTCTTCCCACAACATTTTAGACATTTGAGCATCTATGAGCAGACAGCGAGTCATATTCATAATGGTAGGATTCAATCTTTCACTTACACCATTCTGTTCCGGATTCCTTGCTACTGGGTATTAGACTTCAATTCCTTTCTCTCTGCAAAACATTTCGAACTCGTGTGAATTGGGCTCTCCGCCATTATCACAACGCAGTTTGGATATTTTCATTTGAAATTTAGCATTTATGATTGCTTCGTACTCTTTAAACCTAACGAATACTTCACTTTTATTCTTTAACAGATATACATGAGCAAAATGGGAAAAATAGTCTATAGAGTACATAAAACTTATACCCATCATGAGTAGCTGGTGTAAAGGGACCTGCTACATCTGACGACACAATTTCTAGTATCCTTTTTGACTTTCTTTCTTCAGGGATACATTTAAAGGTTGCACGTGTCTGTTTACCTTTTAAGCATACATCACATAAACTTTGTGCGGGGTAATGAAAAGAATGGCCCATTCGTCGATGTATCAAATCTTTTTCTTTTGATATATTTGCATACATGTTTCTTTTTAAAAATGACACTACATACAAATTTCCCATAATTCAACCTTCGACAAGTATTTTTGACTTCTTGTCCAATATTCTTACGCAATTATCTGCAAATATAACGCTCAGTCCTTTGTTCTCTAGTTTTTTAACAGATAGTAGATTATATTCCAATTCATTGCATTGCAGCACATTCTTTATTTTGATTTTTAAACTGTTTTGATTTTGGAATGATAGATTGCCCTTTTTATGAGGTTTCAATTGTATTCCCATTTTTGCAACGTTTATTGATAGATCCACATTTTCTTCTTCTATCAAATATTGTCCAGTTTCTGTATTCATTAGGTGAATCGACTATAAATGACAATACTTCATTTTCCGTTACTTTGTCAACCTTGACAGCAAATTGGTCACCGTTATCGTTAGTTTGTTTAAAAACTTTTTCTGTTATAAAAGCTACCTCTTCTTCATTTTCTTCTGCCACATGAGTTTGAGCATTATTATCTTTATTTACTAGCGTACGACATTCACTTCGCTTGTGACCTTGTTTTTCGCAATTATAGCATTTATATCAAAAAACACCTTTTCTAAATGCATTGCTTCTGTCTCGATTCTGGAAGAAATTTCTGCCTCTTCCGCTTCCACTTGCAAAAACGACTAGATTGACGATGACGTTATCTGTGGATGTTAAGCTTGCTTTCATCTGGCGACTTTCTTCTTGCAGCAACTTATTTTTTACAAACTGGAAAGTCATATCGTTCGGATTTTGAGTGAATATCGCGTCTATAGTTGTAGCGACGGCTTGGTAGGACTCTGGCATTGAAGCTATTAGTTGTGATATTTCCTCACTAGTATCAATAATTCTTGTGCAGAAAGACCTCTTTTTGTATAAGTATTTTTTAAAATGTCATACATTTCTTTTGCATTTTTAGTATCTCTCAGCCAATTCCAAAATATCATCAATCACCCACTGCACTATAATATTCCGTGCTTTGATGTCTCTCTTTATAAATTCACCTTGTTTTCTCATCGTTTCATTTGCTTCTTCCAGAATATTTAAGACAATATACTGTTCCAAGACTAACTTTACTCTGAACTCCCGTGTAGTAAAGCCAGTTTCATCAAACGGTTTTAGATTAGCAACTTGTACAGCTGAAGCCATTGTACTTCCAGTGACACTTCCAAAGAATACTTCTGTGCACCAAGTTTCTCCCCAAACCAACAATTTTTATTACAGATTAGATTTATACCAACAATACTATTATTTCATTACTGGACCCATGACCTATTCAAGTTAGATAGTTTGGGCAAAAATAAAATAATCAAACGTTAATGTTTTCAGCTTTATTTCTGACTTTTACAACATAATGTCATCAACTCCGCAACTCGATTACCTAAACTATACATAATAAATATACAGAGATTGCTAAAACTAATGGGCAATATCAACAGAACCTGGTGAATTTATACCAATCTAACTAAATTTGGTTCAATATTGGTGAGTTGTAGCCTTAAATCTCCGCGTTTGTTGATTTTCAAACCGTTTCTTTGTTTTGTCAAAATGTTTGGAACCACACTAAAGTCTTTTTCGACTAGGCGTGATGATGGAAAAGCGATAAGGTATTTTTCAGCAATGTTCTACAATATAGTAAACTGTGTTTCAATGTTACCCTGCAACCAGAACTTCCGATAACCTTGGTTAAACTTCTGCTTAAGCTCCTCGTCTGTACTGATGTTGATCAACTCTTCTTGCATTATAACATTGGCTTATTCCATGGCTGTGATATTGTACGGATTAATTATCCATTGAGGAATTTATAAATTTAAGAGATCCTCAAACCTCTTAAAATAAAATAGAATGAACATTTACGTTTTTATTTTTTCTAGAAAAACATTTACAATGCCACTACCTCATTGGTCTCCAAATACACACTGGGATGGAGAATCTTTGAAACTATTAACAGCCTTCGATCTTGATCCACTACCAAACGTATCTGTTGATGACATCACTAATAACACAGAAAAATTTCCAATTAAATTCCCAACAAAAACCAACCAATGCACATTCCTAAAATCAAAAACTACGGATGACGTTCTATCTAGAAATATCCACTCTGTATATCCATTACTACACGAAAGTATTTTGAAATTGTGCGCAGACTTTATTGTCTTCAAAAGGCAATATGGTGCCGATATTGAGAAAAAATATTACAAACATTTAACACTTAAAGACTTGATTGATAAAATTTTGAAAAACAGAGCTGTTATTTTTTTGGGAGAAGACGATGAATACAGGCTTTTAAATGGAAAGTACGGACATGGGTGGCAACATATAGGAACCGATAAAGAAAGAGATCCTTTAACTATAACAGAAGTTATGTCTTATGACGAACTGAAACTATCAGCATTTATGTCAGTTACATCCTATACATATTTCGTGAATAAGGGACATCGTACTAATGAAGGAAAATTTCAAGAAGACAGAAATGAGGTAGAAGACGAAGGCATCATCGTTGGTATGATTGGTACCAGGATAGAAAAAGAAGGAGTCATGGAATATCAAGATGTAGTTATCAGTAAGAGACAGAACACAAAAGACCACGGTTTTGGTAGAGATATTCAACACACCGTCCCAAAGCTATTCTCTAATTTTTACCAAGAAGAATCGTTGACATACGACGAAGCTCTTACAGCAAAAAATAATGATTCCTATGGAAAATACACAACGATAATCGGCGATCAATTATTCGATAATCACTTTTATTATAAAAGGCTCTCTATTTCGGTGGATACGTTGTTGTTAGAGGCGAATTCGAGGGCTAAAAGTTGCTCGAAGTCGGCTTATCTGCACGTTGTAGGATTAGGGTTAGGAGTGTGGAAGATATCTGATCATCAGAATAAAGTTTATATGGATACGTTCGCTGAACGACTTGCGTAAGTAGTAACTTTTCCATCAAACATTTTTTTTAGTAATTGTAAGGATGTGACAGATGTTAAATAGAGGAAGAATACTATTTTCTATTATTAGAAGTTACACGAATTAACTTCAAAATTATTATAAATAATTTATCACCCTGTATACTATACCACTCTGTATAGCCACTTCACAAAACACGTGTTAACATGGTTTTATAATGTTTTATTAAATATCTCCTAAACAATGTTTTAAATTTAATTAATTAAGGAACAAAATAAAGATTGTCTTAACGGGTACTAATGCCTACTTGCTTGTCTTCGCTCGATCGAAATTCAAATGTTCCCGTTCTCTTTTGGATATTGCTATGGGCGTGATGTGGTACTGTCGACTCCAGTGGCGGCGGTATCCTAATTCGCTGACTAACACTATTATGTTTTGGATTATATTGATAGATGTAGCAAGCAGAATTAAAAAATACATATCAAAATACTTGAATGAAAATAAATTAATTCAATTTAAGGAATAATTGTGACAATACTTTAATCTGTTAACAATTTAAAATACAATACTGAATTTTCCATACCATTATTTACGAAATTATACGAAATATAAATCAATTTTGTTATGAATTGACTGTATGTCTAGAACCATTCTATAAAACTAACTCATTTTACTCATTCATACATATATATTTATTAAACTTATTCTTGTAGCTCTTTGGGAGAAAAGCTACAAAATATAAGTGACATTTGCTTCGCTCACATAAAACATGACAAATGCGGAAATTATGGAGACAACGAGATATTTCCTATAAAAGATCATTCAAATGGAGGAATAAAAGTTCATTTCCTCGAGAGAGATCCACACGCCAAATTAACAGACGAAGAGAAAGGTAATTATAAAGCTGTCAGTTGTCAAACTTACCTCCATTCTCAGCTGTCAAAATGCAAGTGCAATTTGTAAACTATTAACATTATTAACAATAAAAAATAAGTCGCAATGCTACGCCTATGTTTTGACATAATCGACAGCTAATATTGACAAATGTCTTCAACCTTTAAATGTAAAATACCCTAAAATAAAAAGTCTTTTTTACGTTACGGATACAACAAGGTATGTAGATGAGAAAAACCACAAATTGAACAAAAAACAACAGCCTCTTTATGTGACCCTATTTCTTATGTCATTACTGTCAATTTTATTTTGTAAAGTTGGTTGCACTTCTCTTGTATAGAAGTCCTCTCTATTACTATTTGATTACTACTTTTAATTTTATATGTGCTACTTCCACATACTTATTACTATACGGAACAAGAGAGAGGTCCGACACGCCCAACATAGGGCGCGGCCATTTTGATTCCTATGACACAGTTTATAGCTAAAGAATTAGATCGCTCACTCTGCGTTGGCACTTTTGATCTCAATGTTCCAGTTTATACACTGCGCAACTCGGATAATACAATATATGACAACCGCCTATAATAAAACAGCAGTCTTCTGCGTATCCTGAATTTGTATCCCTGGAGACTCCAAAAATAATATTCACTGACACTGACAGCAGCAAGCAAAATATGAGGTGCGTTCTAATCATCCGCTTCTGCTTCCGGAATTGTCGGTTTAGTCGTTTTAACCTGTCAGATTAAAACAAGAAAACAGACAATTCCGAAGCAGATGCGGATGATTAAAACGCACCTATTAAAAATATTGCGCCAAGATGTAGGCAACACGTAATAAGGGTTCAAAATGGCGGAGTTTTCTATCTCCTTTTAAAAGGCACTCAGAAAGCTGCGCAGTGCGACCATTCTCCGTATAGTAGAAGAAAATCAAAGTATGTGGCTACTTCAAATTCATGTGTCACGTGTCAATATAAGTTGTCATTTAGTTAATTCGTTTTTTATTTATTAAATTTTGCTCTTTAGGCAAACTGCTTGTGGTGTCCTACGCTTGGGATGGCAACGCCTTGCCAGGGAACGAATACTGGTATGGCAGTTTATCGGGTAGCGGAGACCCGGCTGCAGCTTGTTCGACCCAAGTCTGTGAGGTCCATAATCCTCATATAAATCCATTAGTTTGTGCAGATAATTTGAGGATAGCTACAGAAGATGGCTTATATAGCGTGGAAGAATATAAAAAAATTGTTAGTGAAAAATCTAAACTTTAAATATAGTTGAAAGCATGTTTTAATGTTCTTTTAATAGATATACCTGTATAGGTACGCCACTGATAAAATGTGGTTTATGTTGTGATGTAAACAAAAAAGTCTATAAATATATATATATTATTATCGTCTGGTTTTTTTTATTTTAAATAACTGTTTGCCATACAAAAGTTTTCAAAATTGTTTTTAATAAAGTATCCATTTGGAAATCCCAGGTCATTATTTATTATCAATTTAATTTTAAACACATGATCATCGTGTGTATAAAGGCGATCCTCGTTTCAAGCTCGAAACTCTAATTTTAAGTAAACAGATTTCTTTAAAGTACATGAATATATTATTCTGAATCTCTTATCATAGTTAACTTAGTTGATGAAAGAGAGCGCCATGAGAATTAAATCTGTTCGTCAATGATTTTACAAAATTAAAGAAATATTTTATTATATCTTATATGTGTATTATAGGTACCGTGGGAAATAAAATCTAACGATGGCGTATTTTTTTTTAATTTTTATCAAATGAATATCTCGAAAACCATTATAGGACTAAATATGGCAGCTCTACCTTGAAAGCTGCGACATCTAGAGACGTTTATGTAAATCACATAACCATTTTGTAAAATATAACATTACAGCCGTTTTAACTGGCTATTTTGGACATATTAGGATTTCACTTTACATCATAGATAAAAAATGTCTTGTCTGATTTACAAATTTTCTATAAACTGTAAAAGCTTGAAAGTAATTTATTTTGTTAATCAGCGCCACCTTTTGAATAATTGTAATATTAATTGGTATGGTATAATCGTTTTCTATCTTTCCTGTAAATTAAGTGAAAAAACAATTTGAATTTATGAATTATTGCATATGATTTCACCAGAATATATTAAATTGACAATACAACTTGGAAAAACATTATGAATCACTGTTTGATGAGTTAAAAAGTGATTGGTGGTCAGATACTTGTTTTCCTCCACAAAAGTATTATATTATCGTTGTAGTAGTAGTCGTATGTAATTTACACTGTGCGAAACTTTTGTTTAGGTTAGGTACCTATCTTTGTGTACTTTTGTATTTGTTGTAGTGTGACAGAAGACATTGTTTAAAATATGTCGTGGTTTGTTGACTTATTAAGACAGGTGATGATACTTTTTTTTTTGAAACCAACAATACCTACCTAAAGGATTATTTCTTATTAATTACCTACCCTTTATTATCGTTATTATTGCATACAGGGTAGCCCAATTAAGACAGTCCACCTGAAATATATTTTTCAAGAAAACCCCGAGACAGGTCGATTTTGTTTTCTAGTGGAACTTCTTGTAAATTTTAATTCATGGATGTAGAGTCATCCCCTTGAACGGGGTTACAACCCCTTCAAGAATACTAAATGGCACGATGAGTCAAGTGGCACATCATTTGAAAGGTATTTCAATTCCCTTTACAAAAATGCTGACATTTTGTTGTTCTGCTTTAAAATTAATGTAAAAAACCTGTTGAAAGTGTAAAATAAATCGAAGACAATATTTTTAAACAAGTTTTAATTAATTAAGTATTTAAATTGCGATGCGGTAATAAAATCTTTGTTCAACATTTTCAACAATTCCATGCTACCACTAAGTACTCGGTGGCGAAGATCTAAGAGAGTGGTTTCGTCTTATAAATAACACTTTTTAAATTACCCCTTAAGAAAAAGTCCAATGGTGATAAATCTGGCGATCTTGGGGGCCATTCAATGAAACCTCTTCTACAAAGCCAGTGTTGGGGAAAATGTTGTTTCTCTGGGATCTGGGCAAGCAAATTAAGATAAGATTCACCCTTCAAGTTACCAAGTACGAAAAAGGAACCAACTTCCTTCAATGAAAATATTTTAGATGGACTGTTATAATTGGACTCTCTGTATACAAAACAAAGTTTTAAATAATTGTGTGGCTATGACTAAATATTGTTAAAATGTTATCAATACAAAAATAATATTTTTTTAAGTAGGAACACTTTGTATATTATAAAAAATTTGAAATTATTTTTTTGATTTCAAACATATATCGGATCTTAAATCATTTATGCGTAATTAAATGTTAAACATCTCAGTGTACGTAATTAGGTATTAAAGTACACTTTTTCGACCATAGGCAAATCCTGGGTACAGTGACTTTGGGTGAGAAGACATCGTAATTGTAGGACCTGTAATTAGGGGTTCTTCAAGGAGGAACTCAATCAGGGACTGGAGGACTGTCCTCCGACACTGAATCATTCAGTTGAAGTTCAGTTTATGTCAGAGTAGATTTTTTGGCCACGTGACATCGAGCAAACTATATCAATGGAGCAAACAGAGCTTGGATACATTAAAAGAATGGTATCGAGTAAAAAAAGCAAAACGAGTTACTTTTCAAACGCAGCAATAATAAATAAAATATACCTACTTATTAAAAATGAAATAATAGTATATTATTCAACGAGCGGTAATAGCCATTATCCGCGAGTAGAATACTACACTTTTTCTATGACTTTTTAACAATTGATACCGCACAATTAACTGTTTTAGCAGTTGGAGCTTGGAGCAACGAAGTGAAAGTTAAGTCGACGGTTGACGTATGTTGCCAACAGTGTTGCCAGAGAGGTTTCATGTCGAATTTTCTGATTGATTCTTAAATAGTTAAGTAATGACATTAGATTTTTCATTGGTTGAAAAATAATTAAGTAATGAAAGAAATAATTGAGTAATGAAAAAACTCACAGTATGAGTAACCACTTACATTAATCAATAGAAAGTGGATGTATAATACATATATTGTTAAAAAGTCATAGAAAATTTTTATTGTTTACTGAATTTATTGATTCTTGCTATCAACTGACAACTGGTTATATGTTGTAAATTATAAGAACTGGAATTCCCAAATCGAATTATAAGCAGACATGAGAAGTGTGTATAAAAAAAATAAAAACATTATATAGCAAAAGGAAACAGATTCATGTCAAACTATAAAAGAAGAAATATTCAAGCCAGAGCTGGGATGATTCCTCAAAAAATAGATTTGAATCACGAATCCGATTCACGAGATGTGATTCGAACCACGGATCCCATGTCGGATTTCTTTTTACTATAAAAAAAATTCGAATCACGAATATGAATTACTGTCAACGTATCTGTGTCATACCATATACCATGCATAAAAATGTTAGACACAAAAAGATGGTTGAATAACAAACAATTTTTTTTTCTTCGGTGTAATGACGGGTAGATTTTACTTAATTAGCCAGCCTTAGTTTGGTTTATAATATGTGATCTGTGTAGGCATTGTTATTGTTTGCCTGTGTCACTTTAGAAGCAGCATTGTTAATTAAAACCCAACAGTGCATGATCGAGTAAGGAATCCTACCTACGCATATACGAAAAAAAAAGTTTACTAACCGTTAGGGAACTTTTACTTACCGCAAATAAAAAGTTGTATACTAATATGGGAAAGGTAAACTATTTACTTATAGTAAGTAAAACAAGATTTCTGAAATTAGACACCTGTGGTTAGTCAACAGTTTAATTAGTTTTTAGATGACCTACAGTTAGTGAACTATTTACTTGTGGTTAGTGTACATTAGTTTCTATAGGTACACTTTATGCAAGTGAGTGAAGTTGGCCCTTCAATGATATTTTTGATAAACTCCTGCACTAGAATGCACTAGTAATGCACCAATATGCACTACTATTTATTTCTCTTTGCGCCATCTTCTTCGAGAAACTACAGCTATTTCATTGTGGGGGGAGGGGAGGCAAATGAACTCTGCCCCCCCACAGTGAAAATCTTAACATTTACTCTAATGCAACAGTTAGCTCTTGTCATGCACTCATGCACCATCAATTAAACTTTTTGCATCCCCTCCCTTTAGTAGTTATAGCTGTTTCTTTACCGTGAAGTTGACCCCCCAATTATTTTTTTAACACGCTTATATTAACTTCACCTGTATGTATGTATGTATGTATGTATGTATGTATGTATGTATGTATGTATGTTTGTAACACTCCTTTGGACTCAAGTGACTTATTACTGTCAGTATATCCCACTAAGTCAAGTTCGTTCGTGGCCGAGCGGTCTACCGGGCGAGTTTTCGATTGCCAGACTCACCGATCGTGGGTTCTAATCCCCACGGCTGAAAAGAAAAAATAATGTTTTTTCAGTAATTTTTTTTTTTAATAATTAATCGAACTAACAAGTAAAAAATAAATATAGTTTAAAAAAACTAAAAAACACGCTTTTATAATACATCGAACTAAAAAGTGAATAATAAATATAGTTTAAAAAAACTGAAAAAACACGCTTTTAGAGCATATCAAACTAAAAAATAAAAAATAATTTTTCAAATAAGCTTAAAACAATAATAAATGGAAAATACTAGTATTATTGTGAAAAAAGCGTCGGGCACTCGATGTACGAGAAATATGGACACGCTTTTTTTTAAACTATATTTATTACAAAAAAAAACCTATTGCACCCCTTCCCTTCAGTAGTTACAAGGATTTCTTTGTCGTGAATTTAGCCCCCCTATGGAGTTTTCGCAAAAAAAAAACTATTAACCGGTATGTACTACTCCTGATGCACTCATATGCACCACCAACAAAACTTTTTTGCACCCCCTCCTTTCAGTAGTTACAACGGTTACTTTGTCGTGAATTTAGCCCCCCCAATGAAGTTTTCGCAAAAAAAACTATTGCACCGGTATGTACTCCTGATGCACTCATATGCACCACCAATTAAACTTTTTGCACCCCCTCCCTTCAGTAGTTAACGATTTTTTTGTCGTGAATTTAGCCCCCATGGAGTTTTCGCAAAAAAAACTATTGCACCGGTATGTACTCCTGATGCACTCATATGCACCACCAACAAAACTTTTTGCACTCTCTCCCTTCGGTAGTTACAGCAATTTATTTACCGTGAAGTGAGCCTCCCTATGATATTTTTGCAAAAAAATATTGCATCGTTAGGTACTGCTGATGCACTCATATGCTTGCATAGGTTTTTGGTTTTTTTCATCTAGTTACCTTAGAATCTAGAAAGTACCTAAAACCCTTTAAAAGCGTCTAAATTGGAACATATTTACATAAAGTGTAATCGATACAAATTCCCAAGAGTGTTCATTATTCGAGATGAAATCTTTAAGGGTGCAGGGCCGCCGAGAGCCATGGTGGGGCCCCGGAGCTTAAACACTGGCAAGGGCCCCTTTTATAACTAGAGTTGACAGATTTGCGGAAAATAGCGAGGCATTTTGATAAAAAATCAAGTTCCCCCTGTATTAAATTTCTAAAAAAACCACCTTCCTACAAAAACTACATCTCTTTGTGGGAGGGGGAGGGCCAAATGAACGCTGCCCTCCTTCCAGTAAAATTTTCCAGATTTACTGTAATTTTTTTCACAAAAACAATTATTGTACCAGTATGTACTTCTGATGCACTCATATGCACCACCAACAAAACTTCGGTAGTTACAGCAATTTATTTACCGTGATGTTAGCCCAACCAATGATATTTGGGCAAAAACATTATCGCACCGATATGTATATGACGTAGCAAAATTGAAAAACACATCGTTTTATAAAATGTCTAGACGTTTTACAAAAGGCGACCAGATTGTTAAATTCTCGCTTAAGGTCTTTTATAAAACGACAATTAACACGCGGCTAGATTTTTAAATGTTTAAGATCATCCGCTGTACGCTACATATTACTTCATGAAAAAGGTGTATGACCTCGACCCAAGCTGCCCTGTGAGCTGTGACCGTTTGGTAAGAAAGGCAAAACAAAAATACTTACCAAGTTAACGCAAATAAGAAGTCAGATTAATCGACTCTTAGTTCGTTGATGTTTAGGTGGTGATCGGAATTTACTGTATTGAAGCGGTCGCTATCCGTTAGTGAATGTTTTTTTAACCATAAGTAAAAGTTAACTAATAGTAAATATATGTGATTTTGTGGTCATTAAAGCAGTTTCAAAAACATTATTTATTTATCGTAGGAAAACTGGTGCCTAAGTTAAGTTAACTTTTTACTAGGGGTTATTGAAAAAACTAATTTTAGGAAACTTTTTTACTTGTGACAGAAATATGTGTTTAGAAACATACTTTTATTTATGGTAATTGATTTATTTTTTGAAATAGATGAAATAACACTATGGTAATCGTAAATAATTTATTTGGCACTGTTTTTTCTGTGCCCCAAATTAATTTTATTCAGTTTTGAAATAAAATTCAACTAAAATGAATAGCAACCGCCTCCTACCTTACCACCCCCCCACTCCGGACGCCCATGAAAGTACTTTACAAGAACTAAGAGAATAAATCAATTAATTTATTGTCATTGAATATAAACTCTTTAAAAATGATGATTTTATCATAGTAACGACATAAAATAAATAATAACTAAAATTATGTTTTAGATTAATGATCAATTGGGATTAGGACTAATGCAGCCAAAAATAAAACTACCCGATTGGTCTCCCAACGCAAAATGGGATGCCGAATCTTTGAAACTGTTAAAAGACTTCAAAGTCGATCCTCTACCAACCGTATCTGTTGATGATATCACTAACAACACAAAAAAATTTCCTATAGAATTACTAACGAAAACCAATCAATGTACATTCATAAAATCAAAAATCGAAAATGACGTACTTGATAGAAACATTCACTCTGTATATCCGATATTACATGAAAGCGCTTTGAAATTATGCTGCGATTTTATTCTATTTAAAAGACAACATGGAAACGATATTGAAAAAGAATATTACAAAAATTTCACCTTAAAAGATCTCGTTAATAAAATGTTGAAAAACCGACCAGCTGGTTTTATTATGACACCAATTGATAAATATCTACTTTTGGATGGAACATTCGGAATGCGAAACTGGGAATACATAGGAACCAGTAAAGAAAAAGAACCTTTAACTATAGACCAACTTATGTCTTATGACGAATTGAAACTATCACCGTTTTTATCAATAACTTCCTACACTTATTTTGTTAATAAAGGACATCGTACTAATGTAGGAATATTTGAAGAAGACAGAAACACTGTAGAAGATGATGGTATCATCATTGGTATGGTTGGTACCAGGATAGAAAAAGAAAAAGTCACGGAATATCAAGATATAATTATTACTAAGACCCAGAACACAAAAGACAACGGTTTTGGTACAGAAATCCAACACAGCATCCCGAAATTATTCTTAAATTTTTACCAAGAAGAACCGTTGACATACGACGAAGCTACAGCCAAATATAATGATTCTCGTGGTAAATACACGAAGGTATTAAAAGATAAACTTTTCGATAATCATATCTATTACAAAAGACTTTCTATATCGCTCGATACGTTACTGATAGAATCGAATTCCAGAGCTAAAAATAGCTCTAAGTCGGCTTACCTGCACGTTGTTGGATTAGGTTTGGGAGTATGGAAGATATCTGATCATCAAAACAAAGTTTACATGGATACTTTCGCTCAAAGACTTACGTAAGTAACTTATTAAAGGATAAAATGATATCTCGCAGCTTTAATGGGTTTAGATATTTTGATTTTAAATAACTTTTCAATTATAAGTTTAACGCATCTTTTTCGAAAATGTCTATAACTCTTCCGATCATTGAGATATAATAAAGAATCGATGCTATGACGATGCTAAAGTGTCCACACCTTTGCATTACACTTTTACGTCATATGTCAAACTCAAAATAGTAGAGCTAGTCAGTTTGGGTAAAAATAAATGCAATTTTTATTAAATAGCTTCATTTAAATGATATAAAATCATTTTCATTCCGTTAGTCTTTAAATATAAAATTATTGACTTCAAAGAATTCAAAGTACCACTCAAGTTGCCATTTTCATTTCACTTTTCCGCCAGTTGAAGTGTATCCATTTGTCATATCGCAAAATAATGTTTATGTCGTCTTTACTTTGTTCTATCTCGATTCTTCCGATACAAGTATCATTATATGTGGCAAAATATTTTTCATTTACAATATTATTACCGTTCTCTAAGGTGTCAATTTTTGATATCTCTTTCTTTTTCCGACTCATAACTACGATTTAATGCTACTAAAAATGTTTTACTTTTACTAATACCATTGAGTAAAGGAATATAATTAGAGAAGCAATGCTTATAAAAGGTTCCGTACCCGGCCATGGGTCCGACATGTGGTCTTTTGGGTTACAAATTCTCATCAGCCTTTTGATTTCCTTGGATACCTTTGTGTCCTCTTACCCACGCTTTTCTTATTTTGATTTACTGGATCATTTATTCCAAGGCAGCTCCAGACCAGCTTAGACTTGCTCATGTTTGAACCAAGGGCCTTTAAGGTTGCTTGGCTATCTGAAAGAATTAAGATGGTTTGTTTTTTGTCCTTAAATTCTCTAGTACACACAATTCGATTGATTCTATTTCAGCTTGAAATGCAGTGGTATGTTTTTCCAGTGAGACGATGATGTCGCATTTGGGTTTAACTTCATGTACGCCAGAACCTCCTCCCTTGTTAGTTTTAGATCCATCCGTTTACCATATGAGACCGCTATGCAAGTATTTCTATACCTCCTTATTAGCCTCGTTCCAGTCGCAGTCGACCTGGAAGAGGCGGGGTGTCATATGATCTGATCCCATGTCTAATATAGAATCATTTTCCTCATGTGTTATTCTGGTATGTTTTATATGTCTCAGTGGGTTCCAGTTTTTGGAGATGTTCAGCCTGTATACACTTATTCTGGCCTTCCCCTTTATGACTAGGTCAAAAGGTGGAAGATTTAGAATGGCTTCTGATTTCCTCTGCACTTCTAATAGGGTATTGAGGGCTGTTTTCTGGTTTACTTTTAGCTATCAACCGTTTAATTTTCGGTTTTTTACAAATACCCGTCTCCTTGCAATGAGAGATATTTTACATTTGTTGGTCATTTTTTCTAAGTGTTGGTTGCAAAAGTTTGCTATCTAGGATTAAACCCAGATATTTTACTTAGTTTATTGTTTTTGGCCTTCCTCCAAACAAATTCAAAGTTTCTTATATCTCCAATCTTGTTTTCCGAGTAAAGGTTATGAGTTGTGCCTTATCAGGGTTTACCAAGAGGTTCTTCATAATACACCACACTTCTGTCAGCCTTAGAGCTCTTTGCATGAGTTCCAAGACTGTGGTTTGGTGTTTCCCTCGTATAAGGATGACAATGTCATTGGCGTATCCTTGGCCTTGATTGTTTAATGTTCTCAGCAGTTCATCTGCCACTAGGTTCAACAGGAGAGGAGAAAGGACTCCACCCTGTGAGCATCCCTTGTAGATATTCATCTGCATGGTTTCACTGAGCTTTTGTGTCTGGACTTGCAGTCTGTGTAACATGTCTTCTATCCACTAGCAGATGGTGTCTTATATTCCATGTTTGCGAGCGGCAGCTACCATTGATTTAAAGGAGGTATTATTATATGTCAAGAAATACAGCTAGGACTATTTATTGGTTACTGAGTCCCCCTTGGTTACAAGATGATTCTTTTGATACAAATGACGTCAGAGCTATTGATCTCTAGGTCTTTGCCACGGCATATGTTTGACGCTCTGGTTTAGGTAAAAAGACTATAAATATGCAGGGCCAGTGTTTCTATTGCCGGTTGCAGAAGCAGAGGCTACACCCCATTTGGTTCCGGTGAGATTTATGGGTTGAAGATGCGTACCTTACTTTCTCTATTATAATTACTAGTTTTGCAGTTTCCCACTCTTGGCTGGAAACTCTTTTTTGAGAGTTCCGGTTCGTGTGGTATCGGTTTGCTGCATTCGGGCTTGCTGTGCAATCAAGGAAATAGGTTTTGAAAAGTAGTTCTAATGTTTCCATTCCAGTTTTAGTTAATTCCCCTGTTTAAGTTTTTAAAGTTCCTATAAAGTATATTGGATTTTTTGCTAGAATGCATCCTTCAATTAAATACCCCATACAAGCACATTGCAATGGAAAAAATGCTTACTTTGACTCAACAGCATATTAAAATTTCAAGAAATCCTATCGGTGTAGGAAATCCATTGAAGGTGTGAAATATCCTTTTTTATTATATGAGGATAATTTTTCTTGAAAGGTTTTGTACCTTATCTGTTGATAAAATACTAAAACGTAAGCCAAAACCCATCCTTTACAAAGCTCTTCTTAATTTTTCTAGTTATTTGGGAGAAAAGCTGCAACATATAAGTGACATTTGCTTCGCCTACATAAATCATGATAAATGCGGCAATTATAGAGATAACCAGATATTTCCGGTAAAAAATCATCCAAACGGTGGAATAAAAATTCATATCGTCAACAGGGACCCACATGACAAATTAACAGGCGAAGACAAAGGTAATTATAAAGTTTAATAAAAGGTGAGAGTAGTTATTCGCTGTTCCGGTAAAACAATGACGTAAATGCAAAATTATATTTTTTCAGGAGAGACGAAAAACGAATATTATTACTTCCAAATTTGGGCACATGAATCACAAACATCTTCTCCTAAATAGCAAATACGTTTAACCACCAAGTAACGATTCCCGTAAAGTTTCAGACACAAATGATTCTTGTGTCATTGTTTTTCCAAAAGTGGTGGGGCAAACGTTAATATTTAAAAACTGACGCAACTACCATCTAGCAGCTGCGAGTGGATATATAAAATTACGTTGTTGTTATACCGTGTAGAGATACTAATTTGGAAACTAATGACATGTTAAAGTAAAAATGTCATACTTTTGCACTTACGTCATTGTTTTACCGGAACAGCGAATGTGAGTATAGGGAGTGTCAACAAGAGATTCACTTTCCACTTAATCTCCATGAAAATTAGATAAAGGAGAGCCGGTTTTGTGGTTTATTTTTGATCTGTCCAAAGCCTTTGACATAGTTAATCATACAAAGCTCTTGGAGGCTTTGGAAACATCTGAAATACTACTAAATAATTTTGAAAATTATTTAAATAACCGGTCGCAGACTGTTAGAATAAAAATGTAACCAGCAACGAAGAAACTGAGTATGGTGTTCCTCAAGGCACAATTCTAGCACCTCTAGTTAATATTGGTGTATGCAATAAGGTGGTTTTAAAAGAAGAAGTCCTTTCTCTCTCACAAGTAACTTATGAGAGAGAAATAATTTCTTTTTCTACCACCTTCCTAAGTAATTAAAAAGTTGTCAGTTGTCAATACGTGTTTAATCGTTACAGGTAAACTTCTTGTTGTTTCCTATGCTTGGGATGGTAACGCTTTGCCAGGTAATGAGTATTGGTATGGCAGTCTAGACGGCAGTAGTGATCCTGCTGCTGCTTGTTCCACGCAAATCTGTGAGGTCCATAATCCTCATATTAATCCGTTGGTTTGCGCCGATAATTTGAGGATTGCTACAGAAGATGGCGTTGTTAGTTTAGAAGAATATAAAAAAATCGTTAATGAAAAATATATACTTTAAACATATTCTGCGTCAGTATTTACTACTTGTTATTGAATGGTTTTAAGCATTTTTAATACATTTTTTTAAGAATTCCACCATTGTTTTATATTTTAGATAAGCTACGATTTACTATTGTTATTGAAAATAAAAATAAAAATTTTAAAAGGTATTTTTATTGTTGACTTTTAAGTACATAAGCTATAAACCTTTGCCAAATGTATGTAAAATTCTACTGGTCTAGTACTAGTACAGTGTATAGAGACTAAAGATGGCAAATTACGTAAAATATATGTATTTTTACACTATGAAATTGTGGATTAAAAGTTTAAAATTCTAGAAAAAACCGTAACTAGAAAATTACCAAACAAGGTAAAATTTAAAAATAATACAATGAAGTAGACAAGGGCGGTAGGGACGGGGACAGGGAGGGGCAGGAGCAGGGATAGATTTAAATTTATGCAACGATAAGGTAACACTCTACAAATATTTAAATAAGAAGCTGGCAATACAGATATTTAAAAAAAAGGTGGGGACCCCTCTCATTTAAAAATTACTAGATATTTATTACAACAAAAAGTAGCAAATTTTCATGGATTTAATAATGAAAGATGCTTAAATGTTTTTTTATTTCTTTTTAAAAATTATCAATATAAATTCTTTTCCAAGGTTTAAAAATTAAGGTTTCTCTTTTTTAAGCAGGGGTGGCTCGTAGCCAAAATTTTGGGGGTAGCAGAATATAGATCTCGGTACAGATGTATGTAAAAAACTAAAAAACTGTCAGTGTTTTAGAAAAGTATATTATAAACTTTTTTAAAACACTGAAAGTTTTTTCATACATCTGTACTGATATCTATATTCTGTCACTGTGAATCCCCAACATTGTAGTTGCGAGCAGCCACTGACTTTAAGTTTTGTTACTGTTTGTATTACCTGAACATTTCAAAAAAATGTGACTGAAATTAAAAGAATTAGATATATTTAAGGTAATTTTATCTTCTAAAATCGCGAAATTTATTTAAATTTTATTAACGCCCCTATAGATGACAGTAACAATAATTTTAAAACATTTCATATTCTTATAAATCGGCCAAGGAAAGTCAGTTGTAACGAATCTAATAATAAAAGTAAAGGAAATGAGTAAAACTCGAAGAACGTGTTACAATTTTTCTCATTTCCTTTATTTTTAATATTAAATTGATCACATTTGAGTATTGGAATTTATTTCCGTTGAATCTATAATTGTTAAAATCCGTTCAGCGGTACCAGAGGAATCTATTTTTAAAGAAAAATGCATTTATACGTTTTTTAAGAGTTCTCTAAAGAAAATAGTAGTTTGTGCAACATATGAGGGCCATATCGCACGAAGACGAAGTTTGAGCACGACGCCCTAGACGGAGTGCTCAATCATTTTTTTTACGACTCACTAACGGAAATCTACAAATTAAAAAAAAAATATTTTATGAATAAGATAAAATAACTAATTTAAAAATAATTTATGACTTTTAATAATTTATAAAATAAAATAAACCTAAAAAACACTAATTTATTTAGTTTTCAATCCTAGATTTGAATCCAGGACATTCGTATGACAGGAAAATGCACTACCCTCAGGTTAATCGACACAACTAACATTTTAGTTTTTAGTTTGATTAAAATTGATAATTTTGGATAATTCTTAAATAAAAATTAGGAATATGTGATCATCAAACATAATAAACGGTGTAAAAAACTAATCTGAGGGATCGCTTGAGTATAATTAAAAATTACAAAATAAAAGAAAGTGCGAATGTCCCAAATGATGAAGTCCATCGTAGGTGTGACGGAAAGAAAAGAAGAAAATTTAGTTCGTGAAGAAGATAGATGTCAAATGTAAGAATTTATGAAGAATAACATGACATAATAATATATACGATATAATAATATATAAGATATCGAAAACAAAAATAAAACACTCCTAAAGAGGAAAAAGAAATTGATGTTATACCACCATTTTTAAAAATAGTTTTTCTTAATTTTTTATTTTGTTTGGCATTGCCTATAGTCAAACGCTTTTTTGTCAAAATTTTGATGGTTTTATCATGCAAATCGACATAAGTTTATCACATATTTCTAATTGGCTTTTAAAAATTGAGAATATAGAAACCTTACATTTTGATACACCTTATATGCAAATGAATGAAAACTAAAAATATGTTCAGGAATGTTAAGTCTATAAAAATTGTTTGAGCATATGAAAATAATCAAATCTAATATACATAACTACCGAGGTAAGAACCCACAAGGTAATCGATTTAAAAATGTATAAGTTTGGATAGGCCGTACATTTATGGACTACCGTGTATATTAAAAAATAATTTTAAAATATGGTTGTCAATTTTTGTATTTTTCCTACCCCCACATGGGTATGAGCTATTTTACGCACAAACTAGAAAACGAAAAAGTATGCCATTACGTACATCTGAACGAATATATTTCATATCCATTTTACTTAGTATAAACATTACACAAATATGAAATCCACCAATCAAGGTTCATATTGGTTTCCTGGTTACTATTATTGTTTTATTAAATTAATTTTCAGTATATTTTTAGTTATCGAAATTAAATATACATTAAAATGAGTTATTCTGGTGTAGAATCGATAATTAATAGCATTTTATTATTATTTTGTCTATATGTACAAATAAATCATAAATTTTAATAAAACTTTATGACATTAATTTAATTACCTGTATTAAAACTAAAATGTTAAGTGTCATAAATATTTTTAAATTAGTATTTTTATCTTAACCTAATTTTTTTTAAAAATTTATAGATTTTCGTTAGTCGGCCGTAGAAAAAATATACTGTACTAAGCCTAGACAAAGAGTAGATTGTCCGTATCCACTTTTGTTTGCAAAACTACTATTTCATACCTCTAACAAATAAAATAGCAATGAATCAATACTATACATAAATATTATGTGTTAACTTGTTGGTATCGTTGGATAGGTAATTTTATTACAAATTTAATATTAAAACCATAATTAAGATATATAATGTTTGGTATTCTATATTAAACTCTTCACAGTTTGATATCGTTTTTTTTTTTATCTAAGTTAGGATTTTTGTAATATTTCAACCCCCTTGATCTCCCCATTTTTATTCAAATTTTTTTTTTCAGAATCAATAGGCTTCATTCCCTTACAGAGCTTAAATTTCACCAAAAATTTCATAATATTATTGCTTTTAATTTTTATAAATATTTCAACCCCCTTAACTCCCTATTTTTATTAAAAAATTTTTAGAATCTATAGACTTCATCTCCTCATGGGGGCTTGATTTTTACTAAAAATTTCATGTTGATATCACTTTTTGTTTTTGACTTAGAACTTTTTTACTTATTTCAACCTTTCTTATCCCTCCATTTTTATTCAGAGTTATTTTAGAATGAATAGGCTTCATTTCCTTATAGAGGTTGAGTTTTACAAAACAAAATTGCTTAAAAATGTGGTACTGATTTAGAGATTTTTTTATTTTCGTTTATAAATATTGTATTATAAATATTGTTAAAAAATACTTTTTTTCACATATACAGGGTGTTCGACAAGGTACATAACTTCAGGAGCATATTCTGGAGCTAAAATAAAGGTATTTTTGTCATTGACACTATGTTTTAAAAATGCTTTGTTACGGAAATACAGGGCGTGAAAGTTTCTTAAAAAAAAATACAATTTTTTAAATATTTCCAAAACCATTTAAGTTATTTATTTAAATTTTTGCAGCTTTTGAGAGTTAGCAACGTTGCGTTTTACTGTAAACACAGTGACTTTCGTTTAACCAGTGACGTGCGGACAAGGTAATAGCTGAAAAATATGGAAGGAAAAACGTGTTACGCCACTGTTCTTTTTCAATATTTAGTTTTTTGATTGTTGATTTGGAAGAAAAAAGGTCCCTTGACTTTTTTCATTAATAATTACAGAGCCATTTTCATTTTTTTATAATTTAACTACAAATAATCATATAAATAATCACTTATAACAAAGAATCAAAGCAAATGTTGAAAATGGCTACCTTCTGATAAAACGCTCGATTTTAATCGTCTCCTCATTGTTCTACTCTTTCAAAAACTCCTGAATTATTTCTTTTGGTATTACAATCTTGAATTAGTCGATTTCTTAAATCATTTTCATTTAATATATGTGTCTCATACACTACGAGATGGCCAAGCTTGAGGACCATCGCGTCCAATCCAGCGATTAGGAAAAGTGTTGTCGAGGTATTGGCGAGCAAGAAGGCTAAAATGGGCTGGTGCACCATCGTGCATAAACCGTAAATCTCCTCTTACTTGCAGAGTCACTTCTTTTAACAGACCATTTAGATATTTGTGTGAAAACTGAGTATATTAATCACCATTCAGTCGAGGGGGTAAAAAGTATAGCCCAATAAGATGGTCATCAATAATCCCTATCCATACATTTAGTGAACATGTTTGGTGAAAGCGACCTTCTATTATTGCATGAGGATTCTCCTCAGCCTATAAATGTTTATTATGAAAATTAATAATTACTTCTCGCAAAAAAGTTGCCTCATCAGTAAATAAAAGTAGGGTCAAAAAATTGTAGATATGAGCAACTTTATGGAGTAACCACCTACTAAAATTTAGCTTTGGTTGAAAGTCGCGGGGCAGCAGAGCTTGTACTTGCTGTATGTGGTATGGGTAAAGCTGGGAAACTTTCAAAACTTTCCAAACAGTATTTGCACTTACTTTGAGCTGTTGTGCAATCTTCCTGGCACTAGTTGAAGGATTTTCTTCTATCTCCTGTAGTATAGCTTATTCTAGCTCAGGCGTTGTTTTTTTTTCTCCTAGACTCGTCTGACTATGTATCTTCCAAATCGAACATTAAAAACAGAACAGTGGCGTAACACGTTTTTCCTTCCATATTTTTCAGCGATTAGTTTGATTAAAATATCTTAAGTGGTTTTGGAAATATTTAAAAAATTGTATTTTTTTTTATGAAACTTTCACACACTGTATTTCAGTAACGAAGCATTTTTGAAACATAGTATATATGACAAAAATACCTTTATTTTAACTCCAGAATATGCTCGTGAAGTTATGTACCGTACTTATCGAACATTCTGTATATTTTATTTGAACAAGGATAATTTCTTGACCCTAGTACAATTTTGTATGAATAACTGTTTTATTTTGTAGCTTGTCCCTAATGAATTTAAAGTTATAAAAATATGTCATATCTATAAATGCTAGGGGTACTGATAAACAGTGTCAAAGTGATATAACGGTGAGGATTTAAGTTGAATGATAGTGTCGCATGCATTTACCAAAAAATGGAAGCTAAATTTACATTAAAGTTTTTTTAAAGACGATATAAAAAATAAATATTGCACTTGGCTAAATTAATTCAAGAAACTAAATAGTTGTGTCTATGTTAGGTATGTACCTATATCGTGAAGACTTAATTAAATAAATACCGATATCAGTACCTGGGAGGTAAACTGAACTATGTACGTTGTATTTATAAATGCATGTTGGAGGTATATGTCATAGAAAAATTGTTATCAGAACATAGAAATATGTTACCAAAACTAACAAGTCATGTATATTAAAAAAAAGTTATAATAGTTAGATTATTAGTAAAAAATACATATTACGACAATAATTGGGGATAACTGCATTTCTTTTCGAAATATAATTATTATATGTAAATATGGAACACGAAAAGTGTCCAACCAACATTCAGTCTGCTCTACTAAAAATTTGACTAGAATGACAGCGCAGTTTATCTCCGAGGTACTGATATATCTATTAAATAATGTTCAAAACTTTGACTTTATCATTCTTTTAGTGTACCTATTTCTTAGGCTATAATGTTGTTTAAGCCTTTATTATATTATTATTATATTCTTCACACAGTAGTCTGTGAAGAGTATTATAGGTTTACTTTGTCCGATGTCACATTTTTTGCCTCAAAATCGAAAAATGATATTTTACTTGAAAATTTTAAGCAAAAAACAAGCTCTATAAGGGCAGAAAGCCTATTGATTTTTAAAAAATCTAATTAAAAATAGGGAGTTAAGATAAGTTAAAATTAAAAAAAATCCTAAATTAAAAACGAAAAGCTATATCAACATGAAATGTTTAGTAAAAATAAATCTCTATAAGAAGATATAAAGTCTACTGATTTTGAAAAAATCTGAATGAATTGGGGAGTTAAGGGTGGTTAAAACATTAAAAGAAATCCCAACTCAAAAACGAAAAATGATATCAACTTGACATTTTTAGCAAACATCAAGCTTTATAATCAGAAGAAAAGTAGGAGGGTTAAGACGGTTGAAATATTTAAAATAACTCAAAAACAAAACAAACCATATTATAAATTAGAAATTTTTGGACAAATGAAGATCTAAAAGGGGATAAAAAGCCTATTACCACACTGTCGTTACAAGTACAGGACGTTTAAGAATTTTTTTACATTTTTTTTCAGTTTTTTTTTTTCATTTTTTCTTTCGTTTTTTCTTTCGTTTTTTTTCGTTTTTCTTACTGTTTCTTTTTGTTTTTTTTTGTTTTTTTTTTTAAAGATTGAGATCCAAAAATTAAAAGAATGAACAAAGTTAATAATATGAATTTAAACTCGAAAAGTAAATACTTAATTATAAAAAATATACAGGTTATTTCAAAAGTTATGAGCCTAGAAAAAAATTGGCAAAATTATTAAAAACAGGGTTATAAAGGGCGACAGACCCACGAAGTATGGGATTTCTGGAATCACCCTGTATAAATGTATGATAATTGCTTACTGAAAATATTTTTTTTTGTATTTATTTTTAAATTTAGTTGCATAAAGATTGAATCTAGATATATCTGGTGAATGACAAAAAATTGTGAAAGTCATTTGTATTGGGCCACCCAGTATATTTATGTATGAAATTTTTTTTCAGAATCTAAGATAGAAAAAATATGTATAAATGCATCGTACTCTCTTTAAAACGCGCTAACCTAGACAGATATCCGCGATACAGCAGCAAAAAAATCGGAAAAAGATTATAAAGATTATAAAAGGAGTAAGGCAGGAGAGCGCGACCGTCCAGGATATACGTAGAATCCTGTCAAACGTCGATTTTCCCTCACTCTGAATCCTTCGTTTAGTTCGCGATCACCGTCTCATCTAACCAACCGCCACCGAATATCCAAATAACATCCATTATAACTTCAAAATTGAACCGCATTCACATATTCTCACATCGCACCGGTGAAATTCTGACATCGAAATTCGAAACTTCAGTCGAATATCGCGAACAGTGCTAAAAGTTATGTCAGTGTGTTGCAGTTAACAAACTTTCCACGAAACCGCCAAAAAAAAAAACAAAAAAATGAATAATTTTCGCGAAAAAATGGCAGCGCACCTCTACGAAAATTTGCCGTTGAAACGTTTGACAAGGAATAACGAACTTGCTCGGGCAAGCAAATTCGCTTTTCCTGATGAGAAATTAAAGAAATTGAAAAGTCCTGATATGAAGGATTCTTTAGAAGCGTTGTTGGAGAAGTCGAAAAGTCCCGAAAAAGTCGCCAAAAGAGAATTTGGAAGTTCCGAGAACATCAAAAGTAACGTTGAAAAAAATTGTAATCAGAATGGTCAGAAGAAGGCTTCTACTTCTACTATGGATGATGGTTATGGATCGTCCAATAGTACACCGCAAGTTTCAGGTAAACTACTTAAAAGTTTTATTCAAAATTTTTCTAAATTAAAATTACTTGCAAACTTTTGTTTACAAACAAACAAAAGCTCAAACAAATTTAAAAAAAATAAACAATGGCAATAGAATTGAATTATAAAATATAATTTTATTGTAGCGAGTAGTATACGTAGAAAACAAAAACAATTTTGTAATGTATAAATACTTAAGAGACTAGTCAAAATAAATATAAAATATTATATATATAATTTAAACTTATAATAACACAATACACCTATTAGCATTAACAATAAAAAATTAAAATTTTTTGCTAAAAATACTTTAAATTTATTATTAATGTATTTATATTATAAATTTTTATAAAAGGAAAATAATATAATATAAATGAAGTGGGAAACAAATTAAGAACCAAAAATGTTATATTATTAAAAATCAGACAATTTTAGTTTGGGGCCGAAAGGCTTTATTTCTTCTTATAAAGCTTCATGTTGATATCGCTTTTTGTTTTTATTTTGGGATTTTTTTAATCCCTTATTTTTAATCAGATTTTTCAAAATCAATAGGCTTTGACTCCTTATAGAGCTTGTTTTTTGCTTAAAATTTTCAAGTTGATATCATTTTTCGTTTCGTTTTTGACAAAATAAACCTATAATACTCTTCACAGACTACTGTGTGAAGAGTAGAATAATAATATAATTAAGCCTAAAACAATAACATAATAGCCTATAAAATAGGTACACTAAAAGAATAATAAAGTCAAAGTTTTAAAAATTATTTAATAGGTATATCATTACCTCGGAGATAAACCCCCTTACGAGTGAATTTCAACCCCTGAAGTCGACTGAACGACTTGTGTAGGGGAAGGGACGGCTATTATTATTATTTGCCATCATCATCGAGACGGTATTAAAACTTTTTTTTAATATACATTAATTGTTGGTTTTTGTAACATATTTCTATGTTCTGATAACAAATTGTCTATGACATAGTGTCATATACCTTCAACATGCCTTTATAAATAGTACGACTAACGTGAGAGTTAAAAAGTGTTGTTTAACGTTTAACTTGTAAGTTCATTAACACGTTAACTGCCGTCTCGGTCAATATGACCGAGAAATTAATTCCCTAGACCAACGCGGTTCATGATACTATAAAAAGAAGGTATAATATTACCCATATTGATACAACACGCATGGTGACGTATTGTGATGGAAGGCGTGGCGTTTAAGAATTTGACGTATCAGCTGATCGACAACAGCGCCCGAAAATACATTTTAATCTGCTTATAGCCAATTAGATAACCATATTCGTCACCACAATACGTCATACGCGAACTCGACAAGATTTCGTCTGCTAAGTAGGTATCATACCTCCTTAATTTTTTTGTATCTTGGACTCGGTTATAAAACAAGGACTATTCTGTAGATCCTGGAACAAAAAACAAAAATAACCTCAAAAATAATAATATTTTTTTTTTACCTTAAACGTTCTTCAGTTACAATCGACACACATACTTCCAATTTATTAAAGTTTTAGTTTCATTTAAACATAATTTTTAATAAATAAAATACAAAATTAAAATTGTCTCATATGTTGATTTTTAGAATTTAACAACTTCATTAGATATTGAAGATAGAGAATGAGTTAATGAAGTAGGTAGAGACGACATAAACACTATTTTGTGATATGACAAGTGGATGCACTTTGAGTCATATTTTGATTAATTTTAAGTTAATCATTTTATGATCGAATATTGATGGAATGAAAATGTTTTATATCATTTAAATAACGCTATTTTAAAAAAATGGCATTTATTATCACGAAAACTGACTAGCTCGAGTTTGACATAGGTATGTCGTAAAAGGGTAATGTAAAAGTGCAGACACTTTTAGTACCATCATTGCATCTTTTTAGTCTGTATCTATGATTTGAAAGATTCGTATGCCCTGTCCTACTTTGTGACTGTGTGCGTTGCGCAAAATAAAATGATTTTAGTGATTTTAACGAGATCATTGTTCGTTTCACCGATCTCTTACAGTGTTAACATCTCTTTTTAGCTAGAAGCTTTCGGGAAAGCATCACACTCCCGCGGGATCACTCAGAAAAGTGAGCCAAAGAGACGCCATTCGCCGGAGCGCAGTGGCGTACAAAAAAAAAAGAGATTAAAGAGATTAACGCGTATGAACACAATAAAATTAATAAAATTAAATGTATATTTTTGTTATTTATTTTAAAATAATGTGTTTTTATGAAATGAAACTGGGTGTTCACTGCACAAATGAATCAAAGGAGACTTCGCCCCTGTATGAAAATATATAATTTTTTAAATTTTAATTACAAAACCTTGTAGAAGGGAGCAGATGACACCACATGAAATAACTGACATAACTTTCGCCATAATGTATGAAATTGGACGTTAGAAGTTTTCTGATGCCATCGTGTGAAATATAATTTTCAAGCATGTTTTCAAAAATATACAATACGTCCATTTGTTTTACTTTTTTTTTGACCTCAGAAAAATCTGAACGAAAATACGAAAATTTATACGATAACTCTGAAATTTTGAACAATTACGCACTAATAAGATGATGTATTGTTAACATAAATACACAAGCCTCCTCCCAATGATCCACAGTCTACTCGAAATATGTTGTAGCCTTCAATAGAAGTTACATCATTTGGTACATTTTCATTGAGCCAAGTTTCACATGCAGTGTGGCACAGCTAAATGGAATAAATTCGGTAATATATAAATGATGGCGTGTTCGGGAAAACGCTCGGACACATATATTTGTATTTTTAGTGGCGCATTTTTTTAAAAGAAACCTTTTATACAAGGTGTGTCATGTAACATTGTCCAATACCAACTTTCTTATTTTAAATGCAACACCCTGTATATTTTTTTGGGTTATCTGATTTAATCTTCTATAGTCTAAACAGAAACGAGTAGATCCGTCTTTCTTAGTTACCAGGACCACAGGTGAGCACCAGGGACCAGAAGCTTCTTCAATAATATTTGCATCCATCAAGTCCTGTATCATATTTGCTACTTCTTTTTGTTTAGCAAATGGGAGTCTTCTAGGTACTTGTCGTATTGGCCTTGCATTGCCTGTATAAATTCTATGCTGAACAAGACTGGTACGCCACGTGGATTTTTTTGTCTCGAAAATATCACAATTGGTATTGATACATTTTTGACTTTTCTAAGTTCTCAGCTGTCAGGTGGTAATAATTTTTAACTAGCTGTTTTACAAAGCTGGCGTCAACTGAGTTACTTGTGGTGGCTTATCATGTGGAATGGTCTTCGCACTTGATTATATTTTCTACCGGTGGTGTACAGAGCCTTATTACTTGTCCTTTCTTTAGTTTGAATGGTCTCTTTGATAAATTGGCAACCCTTACTGGAATTAGTTGATCAATGTTAACAAGACATCTAGCTACCAGAATTCCGTCGAACACTTCCACACTTACCTTACTATCATTTACTTGCAAATAAAGAAAGAAAAATCCCAAAAAATAGAGACCTAGCAAAATAATTTGTGAACAAGAATTGACATTTACATATTATATCCTAGCTAAATTTTAGAAGAAATAATTTTATTAACGTTTATAAATTTGATGAATATAACACCAAAGTTCGTCCAAGTTTTCCCATTTTATTCCATCTTTTTCCAAGGCCATCTTTAATAGTTTTGATTGCTCTGCTATTAAGTTCTCTCTAATCACAATTTTGGAAACGTTAAGCATTTTTTATTTTGAAATACTACGCTTCGATGATAACCATTAAAGAATTTTCTTTTGCTATGCTTCCAACCCAGAAGCATCGTTCAATGTCCGAATCCTCTATATTTAATTTCTTTTTATTGTTAAACATATTAATAATATCAGCTTTACAATCCTCATTATCATTTTCTTTCAGACTATAAATAAAAATATTATTTTTATGGATAAATTGTTCATGTTTATCATTACTTTTCATTATGGACTTAATTATTTCATCTTGACTCAAGATAGTAGCTCCTAGCTTATCAATTCTTTGTTTGAGAGCAATTTCTTTGTTAATTTCTTCTTCAATATACTTTTTTTTAGCCGACCTTCATAGTTTATTTACAGCAACCATAAGGGGGGATGCAGAATCTTGCACAACACCCAATGTCTATAACCACACGTCGCTACTGGAACTATATTTTGGTGTAATTTATGTAATGGACATTAAGAAACATTAAGTTGGTAGAAAATAAGCACATAAATTATAATTTCGTCATGTAATATTGCGATAATTTTCTTTATTGAGGCTTGTGTGCAGACTGGTGGTGCACAAATGAACTATAATTATGTTAAATTAATGATTTGTATTTAACGTGTTGCATTTGTTTTTTTGCCTATCCGTTCAATATTAGAAGTCTTTAAAATGTTTGTTAATTATCGTTTATGAAGGTATTAAACAGCAGTGGACCTAGATTAGATCTTTGAGGAATATCCTATTTTTTATCCATATAAGGCTTACTAGCCTAATATAAATATCATAAAAATATCCAATTAAATAAATGAATAGAATCATATTTAAGAACAAATTAGAAAGAAAAATCTATTATGATAACGTGTGTCCCACAAAAATTAAGTACATTAATCAATGTACCTATAATAAATTGTTAAACGCCAAATATTGTTTTATCTACTAAATATGTGGTAAAAACGCACCCATCCTTCGATAATTCCACCTCCACGAGAATTATTAAACCATTACTCTTTAGCGTGTGTAAATAAAACCTACTAATTACTATTTCGAAAAACTAATTACACATTGGCCGCATGTATGATGAATGAGAACTTAAATAACCTAATGAACTGTAATAATTCTGATCTGAGAATTCTTGTGAAAAACGTATTTTTAGAGTTTTGTAAAGTGCATGGCGTATAGGAGCGCCGTTTGACGTTATACGAGGAATCATCGATAATGTTTTGACAAACTGTTGCAAAAAGATAGGTATATAACAAGTGAAATGTATT